TTTGCAGCTGAATTTTTTTGCAGCTGAATTTTTACCGGATAATAATTGAGTGTAAGGAATTCAATGTCTAAAAAAATTCAGTGTTTAAAATTTGGTGTTAAAAAAAAAGCAAAATCAAAAGAAAACGGTTTTCTTCCATAGTAAAAGACTGTTTAAAATTATGTCAAACCAAAGAAATTGTTCTGCCAAGTTTATTGAAGACAAAAAAACAACATTAACTGCTGTCCACAGTATGGACATGAAATACAAAACAAAGATGGCTTGCAAAAAGGAAAGAAAAACAACACAGAAAGGTTCATTATTTGCTCTTTACATGTATGAAACTATCGCAGCTGACACAGCGCAGCCACACACGCAGCTTTAAACTGCACACAAAACTCATTTTCAACCATCTTCTGCTCAAGGGCAGTATGTGGTTGCAACAAGTTAACCGCTTTGTGAGGCCACAGTGAGAAACAGACACATGGGCAATGGAAACTATAGGCCATACATCCACAAGCCTGAAAGGAGGCAATATTAAGAAAAAGCTAATTTTGTGTGTTTCTGAGCAGCACCTCCATTGGATTAAAGCAATTCCCTAAAGAGGGTTAGATTTACTTTAACTCTCATTGCAGAATATAAATACTTGAAAATGTTTGGATGTCCAAAAGTGAAAAGTAATTTTTTTTTAATTCTGAAAGATGTGTTTTGTCCTGACTTCACCATTTATCATAAGCTTTTATCACGGGATTAGTCCTGCAAAAATAAAGCTTCTTTTATGTTGCTGGTTTACATCGTTGCATGATAGGTTAAGGGAGTTCACTGATCTTGATACGCAGGGGTTCTCTGTTTGTGAAGAAGATCAGGTCCAGCGGTTCCTTTGACCTAAAAAAGAAAAAGGAATAAACAAAATAGGGAAATCAAAATATAACTCTCATAATACTCCTTCCAACCTAATCTAATGTGACTTACTTGCACGCTCCTGTGTTGATGCAAATTGTTTTCACATCATCGGTGGTTGTGAGCTCCTCAACCAGAACCCCCAGCTGTTTTTCCACAAACTTGTTGCACTTTGATTTTAAAAGTCCTGCCCCATTGCAGACAGCTTTCAGTTTTGCCTTAATGGCCTGCAAAAACACAAACGATACGAGAGTTTTATCTTCACATGGCCCAGATGAGATGTTGTTCTATGCAGTCATCTTATGAATTTTACCTCTACAGTGGCATTTTTTGAAAGGCTTTTTTTCAGCTTGTTCAAAGCCCATTTGCATGCCCAGCAAAGACCCGGAATCTAAAAACAAGCAAGAAAATAAAAAAAGTTAAATCTTCACCTCAGACAAAATGATTCTTACATTTTTAAATGTGTTTAAACCAGAGTAGTGGTTAATTAAATGGAAGGATATCTTCAATGCAACACATTGCTAAACAGGAACAGAATTTAATGTTTAGTGTAAAACAGAATACGTCTCAGGCTTTCAAACATTAAGTCTTTTTTATTTTAGCAACTCTTTGCACTGTGCAAAAATGCATGGGAAAAAAACAATAACATTATATCTAGAACTCATTTTTACTATAAAAATATTATTATTTTTAATTACAGGTTTCATGCCTTGCCATAAAAGGACAGCCGGAAACCCATTTTTTGTTTTTACGCCCTGTGGCTCTGGGTTCTCCCAGCTAATTAGCATCAATCCTCTCAAAATAACACCAGACAAACTTGCAACTTTCAGGCAAGTTCATTTATAATGTCTTCTAACCTTTCTTTCAGAGAAGAAGTTTGCAAAAGGAGAACTGAAATACACAATTTATGGATACAATTTCTGCAGAAAGGAGAGACAGTTGAACCCCAGATTCAAACACATTGTCTCCCACTGGACCTCCTCTGCAGAGCATTTTATTAACAGAACATGACTCATGGTTACAAACAGAGTATTGTTCTGACAGAACAATTGATCAGTTCATGAAGACAGAATGCTCCATCAGAATGACAAGGCAGGATGGTTTCCTGACTGGATCATGAGACAGGAGTGGAGCATCCCCTTGCACAAATAATTCATAAACACACATTCATTTTATAATCATCATTGAATAAACCTAACAGACAACCAGTAGATTTCCAACACTAATTTCCATAGATGGATTATAGCAGTTTTGCAATCCAGGTACAGAAAATCCACGGAGGATTTTCTAAGCAAAAGTCACAACCTCCATGTTTTTTTTTTGTTTCGGTTCATCATATTTTTTCCCTGCTAAAGGAAAATACTTCATCTTAATAATTCCCTTTAGAAAATTAGCTTAGAAGGTCCTGGAACACCACAATCCTTTCTGCCTAAGCTATTTGGTTTCAGGTCTTTAGCTAGGTGCACACTGCAAAAAACAGAAATCTCAATAAGTCATTTTTTCTTAAAATAAGTGCATTTTTTTTTTATTGAGGAGGTAAGTGAGACAATTTGCCAATGGAACAAGACAATTTACTTTTAAAATAAGAAAAAAAACAATGTTATTGTCTTATTTCAGTGCTTATTATCTAATTATCTTATTTTACGAGTAAAAATACCCATTCCATAGGCAGATCATCTTATTTACCTGCTCAAATTAAGGGTAAGTACACTTGATTTAAGAATTTTTGTACTTGTTTCCAGGGCATTTTTGCAGTGCAGGTTTGAGTTTCAGAGCATTTCTCCTCATTTTGGTTTTAGATTAGTAATTATTATTAGTATCTCAGTAATGGAGACTTTAAACATCCATTCATTGTGGATGATTTCAGTTATGACATAGGAATAAATGATTACATTTTTTTTTTATAAATTATGATCTAAGTTGTATGACAAAGCTATAATACACATAATAAAAAAACATCAAGGTAGAAGTACTAATAATAAAAATAATTTTCATATAACTTTTAACTGTTAGATAAATTTTCACCTTAAGTTAAAATAATTTTATCGAATCTTTGAAATATAATCTTTCTTTATTCTTACCCCTTGTTGCTCTAGAACAGGTTCTTCCAGCTCCGTATCATCAATCCTGACCTGTAGACCTCTTCCCTGGACCACCCAGACTGTAAAAAGATTTTAAACAGAATGATTAATGAAAACATCCATTTTTCACAAATGTTTATCATGCAAAGAAGATTTGTGCTGAAGCCTCACCAGAACCTGCCATGAAGATGATGCAGAGAAAGAAGAATGAGAACGTCTTCATTGTTAACTATAAGCTGCGTCCGCTCCATGTGTGGCTCAGAGTGAAGATGATACATTTATAGGCCAACACAGGAAAAGGGGGTGGATGGGGCTTTACATTCAAGCAGCTCCCTGAGTCACAGGCAGTGGTCACAGCCTGACACCCCCACCCACAATCAGACGCCACCACCTCTCTGTCACCTTTGCTGTTCCACAAACGGCAGAGGAAGTGTTTGTCTCACTTCTTTCGCCTCAATACGACGAAGAAGACAGTTCCAGTTATGTGGAAGCATGTTCCAGTACCAAAGAAAACTAATCCAAGTGACTAAACACCTGTTGTTCCGACATCCCACATCATCAGGATCCCCTGTAGTTTGCTTTTCGTTGTGGAGTTGAAGATGTCATCGGAAACCTGGTTCAAAAACCCCACTGTCGTTAAGACAAGGCCAACCGCGCAATGAGGATCATGTTCTTTCCCCAGCGCATTTCGCATGATTCAGTCTGATTTGCTTTGT